ACCCCAGGGGGGTGAAGCAGATATGGAGAGTCTTCGGCCAAACTCAGGTGGAGTTGTTTGCGACTCGCACGACATTGCACTGTCCCCTATGGTTCTCTCTAAATCATCCATTTCCACTGGGGCTGGATGCCATGGTACAGACGTGGCCGTATGCCTTTCCCCCGATCGCTCTGCTCCCGGGGGTTCTGGAGAGAGTGCGCCGGGATGTGGTCCGTCTTCTGCTAGTAGCCCCGTTCTGGCCGGGCCGAGTATGGCTCTCGGACCTGATTTCTCTCCTCGACGGCGCTCCGTGGGAGATTCCCGTCAGGAGAGATCTCCTCTCACAGGCGGAGGGTATGATCATCCACCCCCGCCCGGAGCTGTGGAAACACGCTGAACGGCGTTCCCCTAGCATTTTTCGACGCAGCGTCTCATTCCCTCGAGGAACTAGGGTTACATACGTAACCTGAGACGTTTTTTTATATTTTTGACATGCCTACAAACATTTTGAATTCTCTTCACAAATGACTTTCCTTCCATCATTACATACACATACCCATTATAAGAAAACAGACATTTCTTATATTGTCAGAACATGGGTTTATGTTATGAGAATGCAGTACACTTTTGATCAGCAGGCTGAACATGATTCTCAATGGAAAATGCTACTCAAATTCTAATATAGAACATTAGTTTTCTTGTAATGCATGACATAGCACATCAAGATACTGAATATCAAATAAGATATGACAATAACGAATAATCATATATTACCATAATATATGTTGTATTGCAACAAAAAAAATAATTGCCTTTTTTGCCTGGGTTTTTCAGTGACATGCTTCAGATTAAGGGAGAGAGAGAGTTTAAATAATTGAATGAAGTGTAAATCAGTCCAGAAACATTTTTATGTGTGGGCCTGGCTATATGAATACTGTATGCAGTGGATATGAACCTGGAAACAATTCAAGGTCAAAAGGACGGTAAAGACACCGAATGGGTTTCAAGTTGTGAGAGTGTGTTCTATGTGTCCTCTGTGTATGTGAATGAAATCTGTGACATGTCTGATCATGTGCACAAGTGAATTTCAATGTTTTAACTCGATAGATATGTGAACCCTGTCCTGCATGTACATTATTTATTGTTTTACTTTGTCAATAACAAATCTAAAAAAACAATAGAGAGTTGTGTTTGCAACTGCACCTCTGTATCACTTTATAACTTGGATTCTGGTTGATGTGGTTTAAATGTAATTGTGAATGCACATATGGAGTGACTCCACTTTCAGTCATTCCACTTTTTAACAGCATAAGGATTCTTCTCCCATCTTTTTTCCTTTGGTATTCCTTATCTTTTACTACTCATCCATCTGTCTTCCATCTTTCCTGACATTTCTCTTCTCCCCCACCCTCTCTTTCTCTCTCCCCTTCTCCATTCTTTCTCAGAGAGTCGAGAAAACTCATTCAGCCGTTCCCGGAGTTCTAGTGTTTCCAGCATAGACAGGGAGACTAAAGAGGCTGTAACCACCCTGCAGTTTGCAGAGTCGTACGGGCGTAAGTCAGACACCCTGCCTACGCCATGCTTGTGGGTGGGCACAAGTCTGGGCTTGGTGCTCATCATACCAATGTCCATTCCTACGGATGAGCAGGAACGCCAGGAAGACCCTGTTACTGTGGCCCCCGCTGGTATCTCTTGATTTCCTCCATTTCTAATTCTTGAATGCCCATAAATGCAATGCTCCTATCCTCATGCTTTTGTTCTTTCTCTGGTTTTTCCTCTCAGGCACAGTGTTAATGCTGAAGAGCTCTGTTCTGCGGTTTGGTTTCCTGGACTGTGGGGGCGCTCTTATAAACAGTCCCTACGAGGTGTGGCGGGACCAACATGCCCCATATGACTCAGATCGACCCCGGAAGCGGAAACTGGTCAACTTCTCGCCCTCATCTTTTCAGGAGGCCAGTGGAGATGGTCACTTAGCTGTAGTGTGTTCGGAGAGGCAGGCCAAGGTCTTCTTCATGCCCTCCCAGGCCTGTCTATATGTGCATAACATCACTGAGTCGTCTTTCGTGCTGCGGGCTGACGTGGTGTCGGTTTGTAACAGCGTTTGTCTGGCCTGCTTCTGCGCCAATGGACACATAATGACTTTGAGGTTTGCATTAACATTTTGTTGATGTTGTTTCAATTGGGAAACTATGGTGTAGTGAGTAGAGCTCAGGGCTGGTAAACAGAAGGTTGTTGGTTCTAGGCCCTCATGGAAAAACTACTATTTAAATTTCTAACATCTAAACTGGTGATCATTTACTGATATTAAAACAGAAATAATAATAATTATTATTATGAATGTAATTAAACTGAATGTAATAAAAAAAATAATACAGGAACATAAATTAAAAACTATATTATTATTATTATTATTATTTAAACTGAGGGACAGGTAAAAATGTCTGTCTGTGGTAATTAATAGAATTATTAACTGAACAGAACTTAAGCTCTATTGATTGTCTTTGTGGCATGAAAGGGGGAAAATATAGAATTAATAAAAAATTATATATATATATATATATATATATATTATTATTATTATTATTATATTGAAGTTTTCATCCCTGTTATGGCCATGCAAAACCAGTAAACCCTGGAACAGGGTCCGTTTCTAAAATCTATTTACAGCGATAATGTTCTAATTCATTTCTGTACAGAATAATATAAGTGCATTAGCATTAGATATGAGCTTTTAAATCCTCCAGAACACATTTTCTTGATGAGTAAACTGAGGTATCTGTGGTAATCGACAGAATTTGACAGGTTCTGTCAATATAGATTAATTTATATTGAGCCTGGAACATTCCTTTAATACCAGCTCAAAACATTTTTGGTATCGATTTTTTAGTTTAATCCAGATTACAGAAACCAGTTCAGTCCTTAAATAAACACTAAACCTCTAGTCAGAAGGGCTGCACTGTGCTTTTGTTGGTTTCATACTAAATCCTGCCTTCAGTGCGGTATAATATTTTCACTGTCATTTGCGATACAAAGGATATTGGAATGCAGTTGCTAAGCCTGTTATCTCATATGTGTATATGTTTTACAGCCTTCCCAGTTTACGGCCTCTGCTAGATGTCAGCTACCTGCCGCTAACGGACATGCGCATTGCTAGAACATTCTGCTTCACCAACGGAGGGCAGGCGCTGTATCTGTGCTCCCCCACAGAGATACAGAGAATCACTTACAGCCAGGAGATGTGTGACAACCTACAGGTGGCTGTGCCTTTGTGTGTGTTCAGGAGGAGAGTTGTGTGTGTGTGTGTGTGTGTGTGTGTATGCTGATGGTGGTTATTGAAGTGAAATGTCATGCTTGTCATGGATGCTTTGAGCTCTGCTGAGCTGAGCCCTGCTGCATCTCGGCTGTAATTTCTTCCACCGGTTGTCATTCTGTCCTTTCCCTCGCTCTGTCGTTCCCTCTCTGTCTGGTTCGGATGGAAATAATATAATGTCATACTATTCATTCTATTTTTGCAGTACGTACCATGTGCACATTATGCAAAAAATGTTTTTGTATGCATCCGAAATGAAACATACATCACAGTTCAAAAGTTTGGGGTCAGTAGGATTTTATTTATTTATTTATTTATTTTTATGTTTTTGAAAGAAATCTCTTGTGTCACCTTGGCTGCATTTATTACATACAGTAAATACAGTCAAATCTATATAATTGTGATGTATTGTTACAATTTAAAATACCTGTTCACTATTTTCATGTATTTTAGAATATAATTTATTTCTGTGATGGCAAAACTGACTTTTCAGCAGCCATTACCCCAGTTTTCAGTCTCATATGATCCTATAGAAATCATTCTAAGATGATGATTTGGTGCGCAAAAATATTACTGACTATTATCAGTTGAAAACAGCTGTGCTGTTTAATATTTTTGTATAAACTGTGATAAATTGTTTCAGTGATACTTAAGAAGAGCAGCATTTATTTGAAATTATAATTTTTTTACTTCCACTTTTGATCATTTTAATATGTGGATAAATAAAAGTATTGAATTATTTCTTTCTTTAAAAAAAAATCTTACAGTCCCCAAATATTTGAACCTTAGTGTATGTATTCCACAATGCAATGTCACTGACTTAATCATTTGTTTCCAGTTTGAATTTTTTTGCCACGTTATTTTATTAAAATAATTAAATTGAATTAAAATGAAAAAAAAAAAAAACTTTTGAAGGCTGCTTGCTATCTTCTACACAGCAATGTGGCATACTACTGTTTGAATTATTATTAATGCATAGTGCACGGTTTCACATACCATTTTTAAATGTATTCCATATTTAATGCATACTGTACAGTATTTTATACCAAACATAGCCTTTTTCTTTTTAACTGTCTCTGTCAAACACACAAGAGCAAGAAAGAGGTTTTGTCTTGTCAAAACTTTCCATTTTACATTTACATTGTGAAATGTGGAACTATACTGACATCTGCTGGTGAAGTTTTGAGTCGACTATCCTGCTGTCTCTTTCATTCCAATATTTGATCGGATCTGTATTCTTCATTAATTGCAGGAGATGTTAGGGGAGCTCTTTACACCCATCGAGACCCCTGAGGCTCAGAACCGTGGCTTTCTCAAGGGCTTTTTTGGCGGCAACGCCCAAACCTTCGACCGCGAGGAGTTGTGTGAGTGTAGTTATTTATCACTCCTCCATGTGTAAGAATATTCTCACAGGTTCAGAACTGCCCACTAAGACATGAGGAGACTGATTGACATATAAGATGACCGTTTTATCAGTTTATCAGTTTAAATCAGTTTTAATCTGAAAATCTAAAAAAAAATCTCTCTTTTTCCCATTTTCCCTTGTTTTAGTGTTATTTTTGTATTATTTATATAATATTATAAAATGTCTTAATATTTTGAATTAGCTCTTATTTTAATATTTAGATTCCATTTTAATGAATTAGTTTAATTACTTTAGTTTTAGTTAACAATAACAACGCTGTCTTGTTTCCCTTTCCCTCTCCTGCTCTGTAGTTGGTGAGGCAGCAGCGGGCAAGGCGTCCCGCAGCCTGGCACAGCACATCCCAGGACAGGGTGGAATGGAGGGCATGAAGGCAGCAGCAGGCGGGGTGGTGGGAGAACTGGCCCGAGCTCGCATTGCCCTGGACGAGAGAGGACAGAGGCTGGGGGAGCTGGAGGAGAGGACCGCGCTGATGATGACCAGTGCCGACACCTTCTCTAAACACGCTCACGAGGTATGTAGGAGAGCGAGAGAATGAGAAAACAGAAATATAAATACAAATAAATCTTAATTTGCTTATTCAATCTCTTTGTTTTCACTTTCGCCCTCCACAGCTAATGCTGAAATGCAAAGACAAGAAGTGGTATCAGTTTTAGAGGATCCTCGGGGAGGGTGCGTTTCATGCTCGTGCCACAAGAGGGTGCCACTCTGGTACTTGGACTTTCACTCTTTAAAAGAGAGAGAGCAAGCCAGACGGATGGACCAAGAGGGACTTAAGGGCTGTTCAGCTTCTCTTCTGTCTGTGTATAGGATTGTCTTACTCTTATTGGTTGAAAAGGCTAAAACAAGATTACGATACAATGGACATGTACCATTAGCATTTAAGAGTAAGAGGGGTTCCATACCCATGTTGTAAATCAGACGACATCTTCATTTATGTACAGAGGTTGATGGGGGTCTCCTCACAAGAATCAATTTGGCTCACGCCATGTAGATCAGGGGTGTCCAACCCTGCTCCTGCAAAGTTCAGCTCCAACCCTAATCAAGCACACCTGAAGCAACTAATTAGGGTCTTCGGGATCACTTAAAAATTAAAGGCAGGTGTCTTTGATTAGAGTTGGAGCTAAACTTTACAGGACAGTTGATCGCCAGGAGCAGGGTTGGGCACCCCTGGTGTAGATACTTGGGAAGTTACGAAATCAACAAGAGTGCATGAAACAAAATGGATGACCTATAAAAACGTAAAACTGCCATATTAAAAAGTAGCATGTTACTTTAAAACAAAAGGGAAATAAAAGATCAACAACTTTTATTTAATAACCTAAGCCAATAATAGAAACTATGACAAAAAACTTTATATTTTTTGAAATAGCAAATAAATATATAAACAAAAAAAATGTAGACTATACCTGCATTGCTATAAGGCCAATATATATTTATTTATTTTATTTTTTTTATTTTTTTTGAGACAACACCATACTGTTCCTTTCAGCGATGTATGTTTTCAGAATATTTACCACTCTGTTTTTTTATATTTGACAGCAATTTATCCACCCTCGTACAGCAAATCAGGCCGACAGCAACTCAGCTGGCCACTCTCACAACGTTCAGTCACAAACGCAAACTTTTTCCGTTTTCTTTGCTGCTAGCTCACAAAAAGCACCACAAACTTTTTAATCTGTCTTCAAAAAGTACTTCACCCTCTCCTAGAGACGTATGACATGACATATTTTTAGAAGTGCGAGTATTAAAATGTATTTGGCGCCACGTTACGAGTGTGTTTCTCATATGTAATACTTAACGTGCCATATTCTAGATGAGTGAAGTATCTTTAACTGTAAACTAGCGATGAATTAACTCATCTTTGCTTGATATTCTGGGCTCTTATGTGTAAATAAGACAAGCCAGCCAAACTCAGACAGAAGGGTTGGCTCTTCATGCGTGTCTGTAGAAGTACAAATACAGTTTGATTTGTTTTCTAATCCGTCATGATGTTCATTTTACTTTAAAAGATCAATTTCAGCTGGCCTGTTATTTCGTTTCTAGTCTCTTCGGTTGCCTTGAGGCACATGTAACAAAGATTGTGCGTTGTTTTGTACCTCGCTGAAGACAACGAGTGAGTGACCTTTGTTTTCTCTGCCAAAGTTTGAATGTATCATGGAGAGATTTCCCTCACATTCCAGTACAAGGGACAACTTGCGTTCGTTTCTTCTTCTTTTTTTTTCTTTTCCTTTAATATAAAGTCAAAACGATGTTTTCTACCTTACTACTGTAGTGTCAGACGATTGTTTGGTTGTGTCTTCTGGTTGTCAATTGACTTTGGAAATGGTGTTTAGACTGATCAGTGGGCGCTACTGATGAATATTCATGTTTTTTGAATATGTGTCTGGAAAGATAAAATCGAGCGAGTCGCCCTGCGGTTCGCATGTGCATTAGTGTTACGTGTAAACTAAATCTTCCAGAATCGTATTTGAGACTCATGTTGTGTTTCTATGATTTGTCCTCTGATGACCTCTGACCTTCTAGTGCTTTACTGTAACAATCTCAGCATATCTTCCATAGTCCATGCCTCTGCCCATTTGGCTTTGTAGATAAAAGCTGCTACTCAGTAACGTAAATGTTGTGCATTGAAACAAGAACTCAAGTCTCACAAGAATACACATCATCAACCATTAGTCAAACTTGGGCTCTTACGCAATATTCCTTTTTTACCTTATGCTTTTGTTGAAATAATAGCTCATGATTAAGGAAGGAAGACATTGCATGTGTGGAGATTTGGACTCAAGAGGACACTCAAGACTCTAAGATGCCAAAACCATTTAAAGATGGTCTCTGCTGAAGAAACCTGTGGGTTTTAGTTCATGTTCACCATTATATTTGTTTCAAATGATTCTTCAATAATTCCTCTTCAGTGTCAAAATAAGTAAAAACTGACTCTCACAGACAGGGTGTTTTGTTTGTATGTTCTCAGTTTTTATGTGAAAATGTACAGTTCAACCTGGAGGAGAGCGACATGGTCATTGAACTAAATTATGTGATTTGGATATTCCTCTGTGAATGTCATACCTGTTTAAAGATGGTACCGTGTCTGATATTCTGACTGAAGTTCTGTAGGTCTAACTGTAGTTTCCTCCACCCCCAACACCTGGTCCTCTGATACCTTCAGAGAAGGCAGCAACGTCGGCCTTGTTTAAATGGATAATGCCACCTTTCATTCTTATCGATATTCTAGTAGTGTTATAGAGGTTCTTGAAAATAAAATGGAAAGATATGTTGATGCAAATCAAATTGAAATAAACATTTATTGATGTACACAACATCATAAGACTTGTTTGTTTCTGTAATATGATGGGCTAGTAAGATGTCAACCAAGAGCAAACCTACAGTGCCAAGTACATAACATAACTAAATGTGTTTTCCTATATGGATCAAAGAAGATTGCTTAGTTTCATATAAATGCTAAGAAAGGTGTATTTTTAAATTTTTTTGGTCTTCTAACATTTACTGTCAGATTAGTTCCATGGGGTACAAACCCATTTATATTCATTTTTAATTATTTTAAATTCACATTATTGTATCTATCTATCTATCTATCTATCTATCTATCTATCTATCTATCTATCTATCTATCTATCTATCTATCTATCTATCTATCTATCTTTTGTTATTGGAATCTCTTCAATAAAATGTTTTTTTTTTTGATGAGTTGCAATACCTTATTCTTATTTTGTACAAGTTTTAAACTCATTGTGATTAATGGATCACTTATGTACAATGAATGCACAGAAGCAGCGCCGACTACAAGTAGCATTTACAGGCGCCTTTCCTCGTCCTAGTAGACAGCCAATCAGCTTCCAGTACGCTGCGTCTTTGACGTACACAAGGTGAGAACGACCAATCACATAAGCGCCTTGGGTCTGCAGAGATTTTATCACGAGGGTCTCTGGGTTGGTTTGCACAGTATGCACTGAACCGCTGGTGAATGAGAGTTTGTGGCGAAATGTATCGTTAAAAAGGTTTATTTTTTATTATTTTTTTTTTTTAAGAGCTCTTAAGAGCATTGTCATTCTGAGGGAGTGATGATAAATTGACGGGTCCACTATTGAAAGTGTCCTCATCCTCCCTAAACATGTTGAGAAAACTTTTCCTGCCCATGATGCCTTGCATCATTTTCGTGATGCAGAGATCAAAGGCACGAGCAAACCTTTAATCAGGGGTCCTGGACTGGAAACAAACACTGTCCTTCCTGCTCGGTTCTTCTTCATACAGACAGTGGACACCACCGGAAGACAGTGAGTCAGTTCTGCTGGAAGACCAGAATGGGACACTAGGCTTAGTGGTTAAACATCTGGCTAGAAAATATAGGTTGTGGGTTCAAACCCCGGATTAAGACACTTGTAATGTTCTTTTTACTAAGGCAACACACCACATGTGAAAATGGTACAATTTTAACTATTAGATATCACCATACTTCCCCAGTTGATAAATCACAGTACATTAAGACGATAGTTTTCTGATATGTTATGCTTAACTATGTAAACGATACATTATCTAATGAAATATACATGAAGTATTTATTTGCATACATTTTGCACACCCCTCTTTAAATACCTTCAGAATATAGATTGAAATTAAACTGTAAAGTTACGTGAATGTAAGTAAATATTTCTGACTCAGTACATGATATAAAAAAGCATTTTCAGAAAACATCATTTCAAAATATCTACTGTAATTGAAATCTGCAGACACAAATAGATGTAATAAAATAAACGCATACATGGGATGTTTTCTTTCCTCTAGTTAGAAAGAAAAAAGGTTATGGAAGCAAAATAACTAAAAAAAACAAACAATGGTTTTGCCTGTGTCTTGCCTTAAATAAAGGTTTCAGCTAGAACCAAAAAAATAAAACCACAATAGAATCTCAATATTTCCACCAAGATCATCTTATGCTTTCTTAAGGAAACTATATTGGTGCTTAAAAACCCAGAGACCAATACCCACTTCTAAAGAACCTATAATGCAACATCAACAACTTTTTAAGTCTCTAATCTGCCATATACAGCATAAAGAAGACTTCCCTGCTGATCCTTAAAGTGATGCAAAGAACCATTGAAGAGATTTTATTAAAGATTCTATTATGCCCCTTATAATATAAGTCTCGGGTGTCCCCAGAATGCGTCTGTGAAGTTTCAGTGCAAAATACCCCACGGATCATTTATTATATCATTTTGAAAATGCCTATTTTGAGAGGAAGCAGAAACATACTGTTTTCGTGCATGTATCTTTAAATGCAAATGAGCTGCTGCTCCCCGCCCCCTTTTCCAGAATAGGGCTGTTCCTTTATATTGTAATATAATATTTATATTATAATAAGATCCCTTTGCCACGTCACAAAGGGAGCGAAATCTGACTCGCTTGTTTTTTCAGACACTTGCAGAAAAAGGCTTACCAAAACAAAGTTACTGGGTTAATCACTGAAGAAATGACACTTTGCTACAATGTAAAGTAGTGTGTACAGCATGTATAACAGTGTAAATTTGCTGTCCCCTCAAAATAACTCAACACACGGCCATTAATGTCTAAACCGCTGGCCACAAAAGTGAGTACACCCCTAAGTGAAAATGTCCAAATTGGGCCCAAAGTGTCAATATTTTGTGGCATATGGTCTGAGCACTGACAGGCTGGCCCCCCACCCCTTCAACCTCTGCAGCAATATTGGCAGCACTCATACGTCTATTTCCCAAACACAACCTGGATATGACGCTGAGCACGTGCACTCAACTTCTTTGGTTGACCATGGCGAGGCCTGTTCTGAGTGGAACCTGTCCTGTTAAACCCGCTGTGTGGTCTTGACCACCGTGCTCAGTTTCAGGGTCTTGGCAATCTTCTTATAGCCTACGCCATCTT